TCAGAAACAGAAAGTGTGCTAGATCTGTCAAGTAATATAAAAACAGGTCTACGTGTGAAGTGTCATGTGTCAACACTTAGCCACGATAAAAAAGATGGAGTTATTTTTACAGTAATTTTGTTACGAAGGCATTTTAGTGCCACGTTTAAAAAGATTACGTGATTAAACTCATAATATTTTGAGAAAAAAGGTCAAAGCATACTGCCCCTGAGAGTATATGACACATGGTGGGATTTCTGCTAATAATCCCACATATATTCAAATCACAAAATATATATTTTTTTTATGAATGCAAACATCACAAAGATGATATTAAAGATATACAACTTTGTATAGAGTACACAACATTTATCAACAATATGTGCAATGTCGTCTGAACATCCAGAACAAAAAAAAAAAGAAAAGAAAAAGATAAAGAAAAAATTAAAATTGGAAGAAAGGGGAAAAAAACAAAACCATGAGGGTAAAATATTATATTTCAATCCCAAAATATTATAACTTTAATCTCGTAATTGCTACAACGTAATCCTCGTAATTTTGACTTTATTCTCAAAATATTTCGACTTTATTCTTCTAATTTTGACTTTGACTTTTCTCAAATGTTACGACTTTTAATCTCCTAATCTTATACTTATTTATTTATTTTGATTTTTTTTTAACGTGGCACTAAAACGCTGTCGTATGTCAAGTGCTGCTTATTTGGGATCGGTCTGCAAAGAAAATAATTCTAAAAATGTAAATGTTCCAAAAACGCATTTGTGTCAGACAAGACAAGTATGAATAATTAATTATCCACAATGTTAGACGCATTTTGAGATTTCCACCATAATGATGATTTGTTTTGTACTTTCCCTGCTGAAAAACAGCTAAAACCAGCCTGAGCTGGTTGGCTGGTTTATCTCATCCAGCCTTTGGTTTGCAGGCTGGTTTTAGAGGGGTTTTGGCCACTTCTTTAGCTGGTCAGACTGGGAGACCAGCTATAGTCAGTATACTTCCAGCTTAAACCTGCTAAGCCTGCCAACCAGCTTTGGCTGGTTTTAGCTGTTTTTTGTTTTGTTTTTGTTTTTTTCCAGCAGGGTTAGCACTGACTGTAATATTAAACACATAATTATAATTCATTTTAATTGTCTCCCAGATTTCTTCCACTTGCTGATGACAAGGAATGCATAATTAAGCCTTAAATAACACTTTGTCATTATGTTATTTAAGGGCTATAATAGTGTTTTTGTAGTTTCTGAAATACCTCTCCCAGACCCGGTTGACACGAATGTCGGCAGAACATGTTTTTAAATCTACATTGAAAAATAACAGAAATATTCACTTTCTTTTTCTGAATGATTATGTTTCCATTCCTCATGCTGTTTCAGAACGGAACAGATTAGTGGAAAATATTTCCTAACAAGTATCCATTGGTAAATAAGGTTAAAGAGATTCTTTTCTTTCAAGCTTGCAGTACTATCCTGTTAAAACCTTTAATTGTGTCAAACTTTCTGCAACTGACAAACAGAAACTGCATCTTGTTTGGCATTGTGTTCATACAAGAAAACCTTGGCGAGACATTAGCCAGTTCATTGTAAACTTCATAATGATTTTGAGCTTTGCTTTAAAACTTTAAATGTATGCTCACTTTTTGGTGTTTTTGTATCATTTTCATGTGTGTCCATTGTTATGTGATCTGTTTATTTTTTTGCATTTATTTATTTATTTTTAATGTAATTGTTTTTTTGTTGTTAATTTATTATTATTTATGTATTTATTCTCTCTCTCTCTCTCTTCTGAATTTTAATTGCTATGTATTGTTTGGCCATCCTTGAACCCATTGCTCTTTTCCTTTCTTGGCATATGTTTTTTTTTCCACTTTTGTATAAGAAAGTGTTTAATAACAATAATAATAATAATAAAATAATAATAATAATAATAAATAAGTATCGTTTTTTTTCTCCTCTTTCCTACTACTTGTTTCACTTCTGTTTCAGTTTTTTTTATAACCATTTCTTACTGTGTGTCAGTAAGTTGTTGTTATTTTAGCATGTGTGTTTAACTGATAAACTAATGTAGTTTGATTTGTATTAGTTATCTATTTTAGTTTTAGTTACAGTTGTAGTAATGTTGTCATTTTATTAGTTTTTTATGATGTTTATATAGTTTTTTTTAAGTTTTAGTTTGATTCAATTTGAGTTATTTCAGTACTTCAACATACAAAATGGAAATGAAATTATATATGAGTTATTTCAGTACTTCAACATACAAAATTGAAATGAAATAATATATATATATTGAATGTATTTATATATATGTATATGTATGTGTGTGTGGCTGTACATATACATGTGTAGTTGTTTTTTGGTGTTTGGCTTAGTGTTATGTTAGAATCATTATTATACTCATACCTTTTGTTCTTTTAATATTTTGTATTGTTTTTAGCTTTATTTTTTTGGTTTGGATAAAAGCGTCTGCTAAATGACTAAAAGTAAAAGTAAAGTAAAGTAAAGTAAATAATAATAAAAAAGAGCACTAAATCTGTTCACTTTGGCTATTGGCTGCCTCCATCTAGTGGTCACACAACAGATCTGCGTCACAGTGGTGTTGTTTGGATGGGTTTTTTTTTTTACTTTTAAAAACATGTCTGGAAAACTCAGTAAGTGTACATTTTTACAATTTTGTAATTTTAATGAATTCTCTACATTTAGGAACGGCTGGACACAGACCATATTAACTTAATTAGCCTACAACAAAATGTATTATGCATGATGGAAATGTAAGCACTGCCCTTGCCATTCAGAATAAAAGAGAACATCCCAATCCAGTGAAGGGATTTGGATTAGGAAACTGTGGTTCCTAATTATTGTGATCCAACATTTGCCTCGCATTTCAGGATGAAAAGACAAACATTTCAGGTGAATGATAATCCACTTCTTACCTCCGAGACTGTGTTATGATCTATATGAGCTTATTATTTTTATTGTGAGTATTGGCTTATCATTATTGCTGATCACTGTTGTTGTGCTATGATGTTGTAATATTTACCATTATATCATCAGAGGAGTATAGAAAAGTTGATGAAAGTGTCACTCCATAATACAATAGCAAAATATATGTAAAGTATTTTTATGTTACAATAATCAGTGTCTACACCTTCCTAAGGAAAGGATACGGACCAGAAGACATTGCAATTACTAAATGATATTTAGACAGACTTAAAGAAGTTCCAGATCTATACTTGTGCTCTTATTATTTCAGTTATTTTGCCTTTAATGTAAATAAACATGTGCAAACAATATACTTGCTCTTGTGAGTTTATTTTGATGTTAATTACATTGTGCACTGTCTCTTTAATACCGCATGGTTTATATACTGTACATGTTGCTGCTGATTGGGCTGACATGTTTGACACATCCACCAAACAAGAGAAAACGCATCTCAAACCCCATTGCACACCGTTTCCAGGAAACATGTCGTTCAACCCAGAAACCGTAGCAAAACGTTGCACACCGGTTTGAGCTTGAACGTGCCCCAAGTATGAGTAACCAAACAATTGCTGGTCCCCATTGACTTCCATAGTATGAAAAGTCAATGTATGGAAGCCTGTTTCCGCCACTGAAAAAAAAGATAATTGCGACCTTTTTATCTCGCAATTCTGACTTCTTTTTTCTTTCTTTCTCAGAATTGTGAGATATAAACTCACAATAGCGAGTTATAAAGTCAGAATTGCGAAACATAAACTCGCAGTTCTGAGAAATAAAGAATTCTCAGAATTGCAAGATATAAACTCACAATTCTGACTTCCTGAAATGAGTTCAGACTGATTATACGAGTTCAAAACAACTTAACCTGCGATGAAATCGATATCCTTCTCAAATAAAATAAAAATGTCCCTCGCAGTTGAGGAGCAAACCATGACTTTAATTTACCGCAGTAAACTTACTGGTTTTGATCTCATTATTGAGACACACTGCTGTATATGTACTAGAATAAATAGCTAATTAAATAAATATCCTGTTTTCCTCTCATCACAGTCTTTTAATGTTTTTCTGTCCTAACTACTCGGTACACAGATATTACTTTGAGCTAAACTGTCTAATATATCAAAGTAGGCATGAACTATAACACATACACATGCATTTTTATGTTTAATTTAATCAATTTAATTCATTTTGTTGTAGGGCTGCACAATTATTCGAATTTCTAATCGCGATCACAATTACATAATCGTTCAAAGCAGCAATTAATCGGTCAAAGTCCACTTATGTTATTTTGCGTGCTTAAGATGCTTTTTCTTTCTTTCTACATGTTATCTTAAAGGTTTTTTCCATTGTTTTAATTTTAGTATAACATTATAATACCATGCATATTTTTACCTTTTTATTTAAAGAGAAACCAGTCCGATGTATAGTTGACATTTGAGGCTTAATACTATAGAAAAGCAATAAAAGTTTTTCAGTCAGTGTTTTCAGCTTGTTTATTTTCATATGAAAATACGGCATGCAGTTGCTTCAAACAAAGGTGTAAACATCATTCATTTAATCGTAAATTAATAATCGCAATTGCGATTTCAAAGGAATAATCGACAATTATTGCAAAAGCAAAAAGCAAATGCATAAAGCAAAATGGTATATCAAATCATTTTGTTATATATTTTATAACATAGTTGAGAACCATCCTTAAACAAAGTTAGAAAGTTGAAACCTAAAAATTTAAATAAAACAAAATTCCCAATGTTTTTGCCTTTTCATGTCTACTCTTGTCATTTTAATTTTTTTGAAAAACTGAGTCCTGGTGTCCTCTGCAGAGGACATAGCATAACTTATGAATAAAATATAATTTTTCAAAAATGTTATTTTACCATTTTTTTCTTATGCTCTAAACAATGTAATGACATGAAAAAATACTAAATTCACAAAGCTTTTTATTTCTGGCTCTCAGGAGGATATATATACACAATTTTCATGTCTGCGTTTGACTGATTTTTTGTCGCTCTCTGTCCTTGTGTTTCAGCTGCAGATGTTTCAGGTGCCGTCGTGCACGAGCAAACATGAGCTGACCAGCAGAGTGGCCATCGCACATGTGCTCAACAAAGTGTGAGTGTAATGAGCTGGTGTGACTTTCTGCAGATGTTGATGAAGGAACGTCAGCTATCCATGTGAAAGCTGCGCCGGATGCCTGAAACACCGTCAAACCACTGACACGCATGCACTTTGTCAAATACGACAGCTGATAGTGAATAGTTATCATTCTCTAGCCCTCATCATGACCACTAACAAAACATTTTCCTTCATGATGCATGTTTATAATTGTGTTGGCTTTGTGTTTTAAGAGCGTTTCTGTTCTGTTTGTGTCCGTCAGAGATTCATCCTGGTTTAATGAGACGTGGCTCAGCAGGATAAAAGAGGATGGTGGCACAAACTGGAGGCTGAAGGTACTTTACTGTAGTTACACTAGTTTGCTCTCTAGTAAAGATGTCTTCTGTACAGTATACTGGATGTGCGTGTGTCTCAGTAAACACGTACGTGCTCTGACAGGTCAGCAACCTCAAGAAGATCCTGCAGGGCATGATGGAGTATTATCATGACGTAAGTTATGTTTTTGTGTGATTGAAGTCCATTAAAACAGCTTTCCTTTGTACCTTTGAACCAGAGGTTTCCATAAAGGGGAAGCAAGGGGGAACGAACGTATATTTTAAAGGGGTCATATGATGCGATTTCAAGTTTTCCTTTC